CGAATATGACATACAGTGGGGTGATGGTAGTTTGAAGTCAGAAGTCAACTGCCGGTTTATAGACTTTTTTGTCGTATGAGTATACGTTGCTCAGGGTGCACCAAGTGGAAGTAAGGCTATCGCACACCCCATGATATATATCATAAAGCCTGCCAGTTGAAATACTAATAATATTTACTCTTTTAACAAGTAAATTGGCCTTTGCCTTGACTGAGATTGGATGATAATCAGAAATGGTGCATTTATAATCGTTTTGATTCCTTACATTTGGGGGGGGGGCCTTTTTTACGATACCATGGTAAGCATTCATGCGGATTCTCCTGGAACTGTGAGAAGAACTGCTAAGTGTAGCAATTTGATTGTGTTTCAGCTCTCTCAATTAGCGGACGTCCCATCTCTTATCAACATCGGTACAAAACAAGCAACCGTCTCTGTCCCTGTTGTAAACAGCGCCGCTGTTCTCTCACCCGGGATCGTTCTCGCAACTCTTGCCTTCTTGGCCTCCTGGATCGTCTGTGCTGAGGGTGGGGTTGGCCGTCTGCGTCGTACTCTTCGCAACCATGCAGCGCGGATTATTCAAGTCTGGTGGAGACGATTGCAGTGAGTTTATTGGTTTCTTGGGGGTGTTTGAAAAGAATACGTCTATTCTCTTGATTTCATTATTTTTTTCCCTTCGACCTTATTGGCTATTTTGTAATCCGCTTTTCCTCCATTTTTGACCTCGCACCTGCCAAGTATACAAAGTAACCAAAAAGGCCCTGGAGTCTTGTCTGTAAGGGTCCCTACGCTTTATGTGGTGGTTTTAAGTTCTCTCATAACATTAAAAACGAAGTTGGGACTTGAATAGTGAGTGCAATAGTGCGTAATAAAGTAGACAGCTGTCCTTTATCGTTATAAAATTTCTGCTCGTCATAATTGGAATTAGCCTGAAGTAGGTTTTCGCACTAAGCAATTACGATAACCCATTGCGGAAATTATTTCCTAGTACTCATCTTTTCTTAAAAGTGTGCGTATCTGTTTTAGTGCAACAAACGACTCTGGATTTCGACATGTGGTACTTCCATCTCGCCTTCTTTTCATAACTCCCGATGCATCTATTGAAGATCTTCCAACTTCCACTACTACTACAGTTGGAGATAACCCAATTCAATCCATAATTTCTCCTGATTTCCACTCTGAAGAGGCGAATCACCATATCGTCGAAGATGCTGCTCAAAGGCATGATTACTCGAATATTTCCCCACCTGCTTCTGGAGACGCTCTCTCCAAATGCACAGTTTCAACTGACCAGAAAGATTTTCATTGCAAAGAGCTAGATGTTCAGTCTATTGTGGAGTCTACTCAGCAAATGGATTGCGTTCCAAATATTTGTGGCGTTACACTCGGAGACAGTTTCGTTGAATCGGCACCTTTTGAAGGGAAGGCTAGGATTCAATCTACACCTCTTGTTTCTGGACATTCAACTCCGTCTGACAAAAACGGTCGAGATAGCCAATCGGAATCTACTATGCGAAAGGATGTTGCTTCCATTAGTTCATTCAAATTCAATGATTACTCAGTTCCAGCTGAATTTTCTTTCCATGAGAAGAAGGATTTTAGTAAGGAATCGATTGAATCTGTTTTCACCGAAAACAGAGTAATTGATGACTTGGAAATGACCGCAATTTCCGTTTTGGCCTCTTTCGCCAATCGATCAGCTATTGATTACTCACCTGAATCGGTGGCGGATAATCAAAGCGATGTTGACGAAGATGAGAGAAAGCATAATGCTGCTATTCGTATTCAACGGTCTGTTCGGGCGTGGTTGCTAGAACGTCGTAGAAAGGCCTTTGCAGTTGAGGTTCAATCGGATGTGAAATCTTCCCTATCCAAGAAGGTGATTGAAAAACGCCAGGCTGCGAACACCCAACGCAGGAGACTGGCTGCTCTGATTATTCAAAATGCCTGGAGAGCGCATTTGGCTAGAAAACGGTTGGTGAACTTTATTGTTTTTTTATATTTAAACACATCCTTTGTTCGATATTGGCTCACTTAAGTCTTGTGTAATGTCTGTTATTGTTGCTTGTTTATTAAGATGGAATTTTGTAGTTTACAATGGTTTTGGGAATTCGGAGTCTGTTCCTGAGCTACTAATAGTCGTTATTTAGCCCACATATCAGTGCCTATCGCGTTATCAAAGTAGCCAAATAGCATTGGTGTATTCTAACTAGCAAAGATGGTGCCAAAAATCGGGTAATTTCTATTTGGAATCTCTATTTTCCTTCCACTACCAAGTGGGGGGGGGGGGGTGCTGTATAAAATGGTTTCCAAAAAAAGGGTCATTGAAGCGAAGCACATTTTTCTGACAGATTAATTAATAATTCAAATGCATGGCGAAGTGTGTGTTAAATGGAATCCCTGTGTCGCAACGATATTTTGCTTCCTTTAAATTTGAAAAGTTGATTTTGTTGCACTTGAAATTTCACCTCAGGGTCCACCTTCTATCTTCGTTATCTTCGAGATTGATTTGTGTGGCATTCCTTCCCTATTTGTCTCTTCTGAAATGAAAGCACGACCTATCGATTGCAACTAAGACCAATACCAATAACTCTTTAATTGTTATAGCTTCCTGGAAATTCGAGAAAAGGTGGTAGTTCTACAAGCGTTCTGGAGACAGATTCTTGTTCGTAGAGCTCTAGCTCAGAGACTTGCAAAGGAGCGTTCTGTTGTCATCATTCAATGCTGGTGGCGCAGTATTCAACAGCGTCGTGTCTTCCTTCTTCAGCGCCATTCTGCAATTGTCATCCAATCTTGGTGGCGTAGTACTTTGATGGAGAGAAGACGACAGAAATTATTATCATTACAGACTACCGTAAGGGCTTGTTTGGTTCAACATAATTTAATGACGGTTTTATGATTTTGTTAAAGTGTTTCTTTAACTTTTTTGAAGTGCTTGTTAACTTTGTTTTTTTTTTGCAGAGGATTCAAGCAGCCATTGTTATCCAACGACATGTCCGAACCTTTCTGTCTCGTAGGCGCGAGGCTACTGCTGCTGCTTATAAAATGCAACATTGGTGGCGGGTGTGTTTGCTAAGGAAACGAATTGACGCTGCTGTTGCCAGAAATAGAGAATTGGTGGTGAGTCAACACGCTTACATTTCTTTTATCCTCACACCTGCTCAATCAAGTATTTCTGTGTTAAAGTGAAGGCTTTTATAAGATCGAAACTAATGATGACTCATTTCATTGGTTAATTAGAGCAGTAGTAAACAAGTGGAGGGGGGGGGGGGGCTGACTGTTAAATGCCCAAATCTGATGTGCCCTGGGAGAAAGAGAGCTGCTTGAAATTACTTTTTCCCGTTGTATTTTTCTTACCTCTACCCTTCAGGGCTTCATTAATACGCTCAAGCGTCCCCTATAAGAGGTGATTCTCTCCTAATTGATAGGACGTGTATACATTCTCTTTCTTTCACACATTCCTTGTTTACCTCATGTGCATTTCAATCACCACCACAGAGTGATACGGTTTTTGTGCTTGCAATAAATTCCCCTTTTCCTTTACGAAGTTGGACGTCTGTAGGAAGGGGTGGGGGTGGGGGTGGGGGGTGATTAGGATAACGCATCTTCCGCTTTTCACCCCTATATTCTATTTTGCATAGTCGAACAAATTCATTCTTCGTATTATTCATCCAGATAATTTGATATGAAGAAGTAACACGACCATCATCCATTGACCAGTATTAATTATCGCGTTTGATTGTCCAATCAACTATTATTTATCACTAAAATTGGCTTGCTCCTCTATTGTTGCTATTGCTCATGACAAAAATTTATTTATTTAATTCAAATGGCAGGCGTTTTGATAGTTATCATTAGCCCTTTAGTTGACTTCGGGCTTCACAGAGGGAAGGAACAACAATGTGACAGAAAGTCGAGGGGTGGTGAACAGAAGAGTGATTTACAGATGTAAAGAGACAGACATGAAGGCAGAGAAAAGGTAGGATGAGGACTGCGCCAGAAGTCAATCGCCAGTTAATAGACTTTTTTGCCGTTTGAGTATACGTTGCCCAGGGTGCACCACGTGGAGCTAAGTCTATCACGCACCCCCTCATGACAAAAATAAAACTAAACGATCATTGGGAAGCATCTTAATACAAGTATTGGTGGAGATATGAGGAGAAGTGAGCCAACATCGAATTCCGAACAGTCTGATTTAAAGGGGAGATTTCAGATTCTTCAGGTCTTGGCTAAGGACTACGCTATGGCATAACTTTCGGAAGTTTAGTTACTTGCCCATCATATTCCGAGCTTATGGACTGTCAGATTGGAGGCCTGTGGGGCTGTTCTTAATAACCAATGGGCAGAGTGCTGGACCCACTCAGAATTAATGCCAACACTAGTGCTTAGTGTCCTTATTACAGCTGACGAAGCGACATATTGCCACAGTTGTGACTACTCAGACATGTTTGAGGCGTTTTTACCCTCGAAAACGGCTTAAGGAGCGTGCTAGAATTCAAGTTTATTAACACACCGGTGACTAGTGATATCGCATTCAAGTAGCGTCGTCTAATATCTCATTTTCCTTTCAAATAGGCTCACAGGAAGAACAGTGCCGTGAGTACCATTCAAAGGGCTTGGAGATTATATAAACAAAGAAAAGAGCTCAAAGAACGCTCAATCGTTCAGGTCAGTTTATTAAATGTTATGTCGAGGCTACTTATAAATGTATCAGTAGGTCGGTATTAATTGCTATTTTTTTGTTTCAAAGCAGACTAATGCTGCTCGCATCATCCAGCGTGCTTGGAAAGCCTATTGCCAGAGACGAAGATTGGAAATGGAAGAACAGGTACGCACTACTCACCTGATGTACAGCCGAGCCTTTTATGATTAATAGCTATGATGAGTATGGTTTCTAATATTTGGTCTTGGTTTCCTAAGCATTCGGAGCTCGGCATTAAGAAAGACTGCGCTTTAACTGCTCTCATTTAACAAACAATTTAAAATACTTCTTTCAATATCGTCGCCTTGATAGTCTTATGTGGTCTAACCTATTTTGGAAATAAGGAGTAATTCCAAGAAATAAGTCGAATCGTCTGTGTGGAAGTCATCTCACTAAATTAACTTAAGGGCACTTGCAGTTGAAAATAAGTCCATTCATGAATTGCCGTCTCCTCCGTCTGATTGGTTGGAATTTTCCCCCTCCAAGTGCATTTATAGGAAATATTCCCCCCCCCCCCCTCCTCCTTTTCCAAATCTGTTGTTATGAATAAAGTGTATAAATACCATTTGTGGAAGCTTGGCCACCAACTTACCAACGATGAATCTTTTAACAACTATTTTGCTGAATCGAACTGTTTTAGGGTGTTGCCAAAAATTGTTAGCACTTTATTAGTCTGAATACTATGGTGAATTAATGCGTAACTGTTTGGTGCCAATTTTTGAAGCACCCTCTTATTAAAATGATTGTCTTTGTGACAGGCCGCGATACTAATTCAACGCAGCTGGCGGGCTTCACGTCTTCGAATTTGGTTATACCACCGCCGTAGGGCAGCTCTCGTCATCCAAGCTGCATGGCGTGGCTATAAGGCTCGTTCCTCGGTTGCCAAGGCGACTTCAGTTTGTGCTGCAGCTTTGCGAAAACGCCTGAGTGTGGCGAGCAAGCAGGCCAAAGAGCAGCCTCAGAACCGCCTAGGTGTCAGAGCGCAACGTGCGTTAGCAAATTTACTGCGCTACACTTCTGTAACCAGTGTGTTGGATGCTCTTGGTCACCTCGGTGAGTGTCTTGTTTTGTACTCTTGATGCTGTTAACTGGTTTAATGTGTGTTAACTTGCAAAAATGCACGTTTCCGTATCAATTTTAATGAATCGATAGGAAATCAAAACGTTCGGGTTTTTTGTGAGAAACTTTAAAGCGCTTCTCTCTTTTTTATTGGTTGGGGTTTAGTCAGCCCCCAGTTTACTCTACTGTGTACATCTTAGTTTGTCGTGAGAAAAGTCAATCGTAGGTCGTGACGATGCATTCCTAAGTCTCAATTTATTTTTTGAAGATGAAATAACTGGTCCTGTTTGAGTTTGGCAGTTTGCTCCCTTCTTTTCAATTAATCAAAGCTTTTAATTTATGTGCGTCAAGGTTTTTGCGTACTTCATAGTCACCCACTTTAACTCTAGAAATTTCACTTTCTAGCGCTGAGTGGGATGGACTTTTGGCCATCCTTCGATGGGTGATAAGGGGCTCTAATTCATTTCGAGTGAAAGTCGGAAAGATTATTAATTGAACTCAATGCGTTAATTGTTATATTTATCAGCAGGGAGACCATCTTGGACATAATACTGGGAAAACTTTATTAACTTAAAAAGCCACCGTAAGCGCATTCTAATTCTTTATTATTTTCCGTTTAAAGAAACTGCAACTCGTCTCTCCAGGGAAGTTTGTACTTGGCTTCTCACAGTGCCCTCTTCCTCAACTCCTTGCGGCCATAATGAGTATCTTCCACACGTTCTCCTTCGTCTCCTCCACCTCTGCAATAGATCTGTCGCCGATGAGGAGGTCGCCTTGGCAGCCGTCTCCGTGATGCTCAATCTTGTCAATAACGTTGACCACCGGAGACTCGACTCCTCAACTTCTTTTCACAATATATGGTGGCAACAGCATGAGTGCGATTCTGCGGAATTCGGGAGCACCACCAACTCTGGGGACTCTATTAATTCGAAGTCCATTGTGGAGTTTCTTTTTATCTGCTTGCAGCGACTCTCAAGAAGCAGAATAGGAACTGGGGTTTGTGATGCAGCATTATACTTGACACTTTTGCTGAATACTTTACTGGACTGTGTTTTGTGCGTTTATACCAAAACAGAATTGGGCTTCTCTCGTGAAAGATTAGTGTGTGTCGGTTGAGTCAGTTGAAGTAGCTGTTCCGATAGTGTTTCTAGATAAGCAAGCCAAATGAATTGTAAAGGAATGCACGTGGATTATTGAAGCAAAATCGTAGTCGGGAGTTGTCTCATTAACATTTATTTATTTATATCAAATGGCAGACGTTCTGATAGTTATCATTAGCCCTTTAGTTGACTTCAGGCTTCACAGAGGAGAAGGAACATCAAAGTGGAAAAAGTCGAGAGGGGGGAACAGAAGAGTGCTTCAAAGGCGAAGGTAGAAAAAAGGTGAGGTGAGTATTGTGGAAGTAGTCGAATATGGCATACAGTGGGATCATGGCAGTTTGAAGTCAGAAGTCAACTGCCCATTGATAGACTTTTTTGCCGTATGAATATACGTTTCCCAGGGTGCACCACGTGGAGGTAAGTCTATCGCACACCCCGTCTCATTAACATTGAATCCAATTACAATGGATTTCAAGTGAGGGAGCATTTTTAATTAGGCCGGAGCCGACTTTAAGCAGAGGTGTCAGATAATTTCAATCTTTTCGATCAAGATAACAATAGCTCTTTATGCAGTTGTTCAAATGCCTCTCATTGGTTAAAAATATACCCAACCTGTGTGTGTTGAAAGACCAAAACTCCCCTTTTTTGCCTTAATTAGAGTCAAAGCACTATTTTTTTCTTTTGTTGCTTGCTTTCTTTAGAGCGTCCGTCTCTTTGCTCGAACTGCAGCTCTTCTAGCCAAGCTCTGCATTGCTCTTCGGCCCGATTTTGAGATTCCCACCCACTTCATTCGTCAGATAGAACTTCTCCTACCTTCAGTTCGTCGTCTTTGGTCAGCGACTCTGTCGAGAAATCCTGTTCGAGCGGAAGTCACAGCTCTCATTCGGAATTACAAAGTAACTAGTAGCAGACGTGAATTTCTTCTACGACGTGTCGAGTATGTTATCCGATGAATTTGTTCCTTATGTATTGGCGATGGGAGTTGATATAAGTAGAACGCATTGCAGTGTATCCCCAAAAGATCTTTTGAGAACGCATTTTGACTAGATCAGATTTTAATATATTGCGTAGTTGCAGTAGGGTAAAGGAATAGAAGTCAACTTTAGTGATACTTTTTTTACTACAACTATAACTCGAATGCTTGATGTGTTATTCAAATAGACCAGCAACAATCTACCCTATTTCACCTTAAAAGTGAGGAAAAGTGGACGTTCCAGTATGTGCTCGTAATTGGGAGACTTGAAGATCGAGTGGTTTGAAGTTTGAACTATGGTTGAAGCATTCTAAGTGCATAGATGCCAATCAGTTTTCAAAGTGCATCTTTGGAGGTCATTCTGGATGCAATCGAGTGGCAATAAGTCCTTTCGTTGTGTGTGTCAAAAAGAACAACTTTAAAGTGAGACATCTCAAAGTTAAGAGGACAGTGGGAGATAAAGTACTTTGAGTGGACCGCTAAGAGTCAAAGTGATAGCTTGGAGGAATGCAAAATAAGTCAGAGGGAATTGAAGGATTTCGAGATGGTTCCTTCTATGGCTACAAAAGTTGCTTGGAATACGTAGAAAGCGAAGTGAACACTGGGAGCAGTGCTTAAAGGTGAAAGAGCCTAGTAAGACATAGTGAAGGCCATAAAAGTAGAGTACAGTTGAGATGTTGGACATGAGAGTTAATAGAAGCAGTCGTATGTGAATGGAGAAGGTGTCTGGAGGAGCTGATTGCAGGGAATGGATAGTAGTACTAGGAGAAAAGGGAGCCGGTTGGAGGGGATGGTAAAAGTGGCCACCAGAATATTTGCTAACTTGTTGACCACATTTAGGGTCTGAGTACTAATTGGGAGTTTACATTTGTATTTTGTACCTTGTTTTTAATTCCTCTAAATTTGTCTTTCAGCCTGGAGCTGAATCTAGAGCGTCTTCCATCGAAGCCATCGATTGATCCTCTGGTAGCCTGTGAGCTTCTTATGCTCACCCTCCACGAGCATCGATTCCGACAGCGTCAGTGCAGCCATCATCATCTATCAGTTCGGCCTGGTTCTCCATTTTAGCATATTTTTATGTCTCAACCTCAAACTATTTTCCATATATTCCATTTTTTCCGAGAGTATATTTCTGTGTGCTTATTCTTCCACACAGTATGTTTAGTATAGTGTCGTATATTTGTGATTTACATGCCTTAAGTATATTAAAGACATTTCAATCCCGATTCTACTGTTTATTTATGTGTCGTTATGATAAGGCGGGTATTGCTATCATTACTGTGACAACGCAGAGGAGGAATGAAGAATAAGTCCGAGCAGGTTGAAGAATTTCGAGAAGGTTTCTTCTATGACTTCATGGGTTGCTGGGAATATGGGGAATACGAAGTGAAACAGTAAGGAAAGTGCTTTAAAGTGAAAAGACCTAGCAAGACACAAAAGTGGTGTGCAGTTGAGAGGTTGGAAATGAAAGTTGATAAAAGCAGTTGTGTGTGGATGGAGGAGGTGTCTGGAGAAACTGGTTGTAGGAGAGTATTTTATTAAAGTTGAACCAGGCCGAAATTACCAAAAAAATTAATTTTTTCAACTTGCTCGGCACAATATTACATGAAACTACTGGATTTGTAAAATAGATACTTCAATGATTAAGATAAGTGCCAATAATGAGTGAATATTTAACAAGCATTTGTTATTCAATAAATGTTAACCTGATAAGTCTCCAAGGGACCTGATGATTCGGAAGCATGGAATGGATGTACTATAAATCAGATGACGAATTTGTTAGGGATAACCAATTATTTTCGAAATCTGTAGGTGAAGGATAGGAGTACTATGTGGTGTTACATGAGGAGGAGGGTATAAAAGGGGAGCCAGTTGGGAGAATCATCAAACCAAGCAAGCACAATGATGACAAAGAAGACTCTCGTTCTCATCTGTATCTCCACTCTCCTTGCCTGCGCTCTCACTCAACCACTCAGTGGATATGATACTCCTTCTAACCTGATTGGAAAACACGAATTTTATGCTGAAGAGAATAGAGAGGGAGAAGTTACTGATGAAGTGATGGAAGAAGGTGTCACTGAAGAGAAGGAGATGGAAGGTGCAGTCAATGATGAAGGTACTAAAGGCGTTACCGAAGAGGTGGATAAAGAGAAAGAAGTGACTGATGAAATGATGGAAGATGTCACCGAAGAGGTCGAGATCGAAGAAGCAGTCGTTGAGGAAGTGGTTGAAGAAAGCATTACTGAAGAGGTAGATATAGAGGTAGAAGTGACTGATGGAATGATTGAGGTTGGTGTCACCGAAGAGGTGGAGATCGAAGAAGCAATCGAAGGTGAAGTGGTTGAGGAAGGCATTACCGAAGAGGTGGATATTGAGGAAGAAGTGACTGATGGAATGATTGAAGAAGGTGTGACCGAGAAGAAGGAGGAAGAAGGTGACAAGAAAGAGAAGGACGAAGATAAAGGTGGGAAAGGAAAGGACAACAAACGACACCG